ACTGTCTTCTGCAGGTTTCCCCTCTTGCTTTTGATGATTGTTGAAAGTGGAGATCAGCTTTTTCATGCACTGATTCCACTGTTTAGGCTTGGTACTCTTTCTTCATAGCACAGCAAGCTGAGATGGCCAAGGTGATTTCCAAGCTAGCACCTATTTGTAAATGGATTGCTTTACAATACTAAAGAATTCCAACTGCTCTGCTATTTGCTCTTAGCTGGGGACTCCAGACAGGAGGGTGTTATCTTCAACCTGATCTATTGGGAAAGATATATTCGTGCTTTTCTTAATGAAACTAGTCTGAAGTAAACCCAGTCTCAACTGAAATTTGAACATGGTCTGATTCCATTTTCTGTTGTGTAAAACACTATACCACCTGATAGCTCACAAATCAAAATATTTCCAGCACTTGTCTTACTAAGGCAGTTATTAGCCAGGCTTGAGATTGCTTAACTTAAGCAATTAGACTAGAACTGTATTGAATATCATATGACTAAGATAATCCCACATTTATTTGCTAATGGCCATTCAAAAATTGTGTATCATAACAAAATTGAGTATGATCTTTTATGCACCTTGTTCCTTCAGGAGAGATGTAATAATGGTTTCTACAATTGTTTTTTTTTTTTTCTCTAATTTTTAACTTTATACATTTCCTCTTTGTCCTTGTTCTGCCATACATTCACATAAAATCATTGAGTTTACTTGCTGTTTTCCCTGTTTCATTATGTACCTTGTATAGTTGAAAGCCTATGTAAGAGAATTTAAAGAAATATTAAGCCCAAACCCCAGGGTAGTATCTCTCCTTTGGGAGACAGCTGGGTTTATTGCCTAGCACTTGAGGTGTCCCTGAAAGAAGAAAAGCTTTTGGCAATTTCTCCACAGCTTTGCCATTAAACCCACTTTAAACCTCAAACTTGTGTCACATTCACTAGCAATATTAGTGCTCTGGTAAATACCCATTTTGTCTTGTAAGTGTTAAATTCTTCAGGCCCTCTTTCTTCATGCCTCTTTCTGATTGTAACTATCAGTATATCAAACTGAACCTCCTACTATTAATTTTAATGAAATTTCATTAAAAATAAATTTGTGATCAGAAGTGCTTAACCTATCATAATGTAAAAAAAAAATTGAAAAACTCTCTTTCACCTTCTTGCTTTCTAGTCAACTTTGATATTCCAAACTTTAAATGCAATGTCAATCATTATCTTGTGTCATCTTAATTCCTGTTCTTTTATTGTTCTCTTTCCTTAAGTTTTTTTTCTCAAATTCTCTGACACTTAGTAATCACTTGTATCTTAGTGATTTTATTATCTTGCTTAAGGTGAAATGATTAAAAAAAAAACAAAAACCAAATCAAGATGTGAAGCAATACTGGGATGAAAAAGCTTGTATGAAAAGGGAGAAGGAAGCTTTGTAGATGTTCTTTTTAATCTTATTTTGTTTTAATATAAATATATATATGTATATAATATGCAAGTGTTGTGATGTCAATTTGGATTTGCCTATGAGAAGCCATTAAATGCTTTAAATGAAAAAGTAAGTTTGTTTCGGAAAGAAATTAACATTTGCATTATAAGAAATATCTGATGTGGCTTAGATCAATATTAAGAATGAATATTCTGTCACATAAACTTTATTGCCGGATATTGTTAAAATGATTCTAATTTTTATTAGTTATTGTTAATATCTTATGCTAATTCATAAATTCAACTTCATTGTAAGCATGTTTTGTGTAGGGTTTAAATAACCAGCAAAGGGTTGATAAACTGTTAAAATCAATCAGTTTTGTTTGGGGAAGAAATTAACATTTGTAAGTTTTACTTCTATTCATTATTTTCAAGTATTAGGTGGGGGTCTTCAAACATCCCCCCTCAATTGATAAGTGGACACACACACACACACACACACACACAAGAATTGCTTTATCTGTCTTTTTGTCAGTGTTAATTAACCTCACACTGGGTGGATGCCATTATGAAAAGTCTCCAGTCTTATTTTGAAACATTTCAAACATAAAACCATGGAAAGACAGCTTCTACATTTTATCTTCACAGATAAGTTGTATTTAACTTGATGAAAGTGCAGAAGTACTTTGTTGAAATTATCAAATTTTATCCAAATATAATTATATGAAAGTTAAACTATTTAGCAGTTGTATTTATTAAAGGCTGAAAGTTCTCAATAAAAATATTGTAACTTAAAAAATTTTAAAGATTGAAAAATCAGGTTTTTGCAGAAAAAAAGCTGATTTTTTTATAATAAAGTTTACCCACCAATTCCAGGATCAGTGCATTAAGTAAACTTTGGGATCAACATTGACTTTTTTAAAGTGAGGATAATTCCTTTTAGGGGAAATGCTAAAGTGGTCTTTTTCATAATTATGAATGGGATCACTTTAACATCCTCCTCCATCCAGACAGGTTTAAGTGGAATGATATTTAAAATCAATATACTTTATAGTCCATGGCTGGCAACATGTTCCAAGTCCTGATTTTTCATCTGAGAGTGGAGGATCTGTTACTAGATATTTGATGGTTACAACTTTTAAACTATAAATACTGTAAAAAAAAAAATTTAAAAGGAAAATACCAGCAAGAATTAATGTGAGGTGATAGATTTAGCAATAATGCAGCTAAAAATTCATAAGGGACGTTAAAGTATTCCTTTTCACAAAGATTCAAGGCAACAGATTTCAACAGAATATTGATATTCAATGAATTTTGTGAATCCATCAAATGGTATGTATAGTAAGTGTCGAATGTCAATGGATGCAATATTTTCAGCACAGAGAAATTCAATGATAAACTTTTGTTTTATTCACTTTGATGTTAGATTCAATTTTATCAGACTGCTGCTCAACTCCTATCTGTGACAAAGTAAAAAAAAAAAAATTGAGGGTTATGCACAAGAAGATTCAACTTTTATTGCTTTACTGCCAACATCTGCCTCTTAATGTTGTTGGCTAACATAATAGGAGGCATTACTTTTTGAGTTATCCTCAAAAATGTTTATCATTTTAGTGAATCACTAAATATGAATATTCTTGTTTGTTAAACCAGAAAAAACTTAAAGCTTAGTTCACTTCAAAGCTACATTCTGATGTCCTATCAAAACTAACTGCTATTGTGTGTCATGGTTATAAGTAAATATGGGTATTTATCCAATTTGTCTTCCATCCCGAATGCAATATAACACAGAGCTGTTTAAAATAGGATTCCCACACCTACATGGAATTGGACAAATTTTGATCTTCCCTGCTAGACTGATGTTAAATGATCCCTTAAAACATTCAAGGCATTGGATTTCAACACAAAACTAATATTCACTAAATTTTGTGAGAGTTAAAGAACATTATTAAGTAGAGAGAACAATAAAAGAAGAGAAATTAAGGAGATAGAAGATGACAGTTGACATTGCATTTAAATTTTTGAAGATTAAAGTTGACTGGGAAGCAAGAAGCTGGAAGATGGCTAAACAAGCTAGAAGTGCAACAGGAGAAACTGTTAGCATAGTACTTATGATTACATCTCTTGTCATTTCAACCGTAAAATGATGAGACCTTGCTGCCAATCTAGTACTGCACTTAAATTCAGTTAGATTATGGCAATGGGAAAGTGACTGAAGTTGAGATGCCTGGTCATTGCAGATTCTTCTTTGTATTTTATTAAGAATATCTAAATATATAGCAGAAGCACCAGACCAGTAGCAATATTCAAAGCAAATTGTAAACTTCTGTGGTGAGAAAAATTGTTTAGAACAACACAGTGAACCAACCTTCTTAGAAATTGATTCAATGTAATCTTTTCCCCTTCATATCAGTGGAAAACATTAACCTGACATAGATTTAAGTCATAGTAAAATAAAAGCTTAAATGTTTTATAATATTTAAGAAATGTGAATTTTTCATTGATAAAGAAATGCAATTCTTTCAATGTAGAGATTGCACAAATTGGTCAACTGATTTGTTTTCATGTTTAATTAAATTAAAGAATCACGTGAAGATAATATTTATTACTTTTGATATTTATTTTGTTGCAGTAGGATATTCCTCAAGAAAGTTGTTTATATTTGCTTTATTTATATTCTTCATGGTTTTTCTTGTTTGTCAGTATTGCTTTTAGCAGCATCAATAATTTTTTCATCTTGGTTCATTATAAGTGTAGGAATCAATTTGGTTTATTCTATTATAATATTTACAATAACTACATGATTTTGTAACCCATAATATCAAAGTATTGATTAAATACACTAAAATATTGAGGGCCTTGAATGAATGGAGATCACTTGTAATATTATAATTAAACTGTTGAATTTAGGTTTTTTTTTTTTTGATTTGATTTAAAAAAAATTTTTTCCTTAGAAAAAAAATTGTTCAGTAATTTCAGCACTTAGTTTACATGGACTATAATAGAAGTTTATTGTTCAAGAATTTAAATTTTATTGTGAAAAATGAGTGGACCAACATTCCATGGTTTCAAAGAATCTTCTTTTATATGCCATGTCTCTTTAGGGTGTAAACTATCATGGCTCTCCACAACTTCCTGTTTTTTGTAGCTCTAAATAACATTTACCTTACCTCTTTTTTTCCTCCTCACTCATCCATTCACTTCAACTTATGTAGGTTATTCACTGTTTCTCTCTGCCTCTCCTGTTTTCAATGTGTTCTGTGTTTGTTACATTCTTTTGGCTCTCTTTCCTCATTATATATCCACTTGACCATTTCTGATTTTAGTATTTTAGTTTCAATTTTCATTTGAAACTTCCTTGTTGCTCACATGCTCAGTCTATGGTATTTGTAGCATTCATCATAAAACCACATCTTTTGCATTTCAAGCCGGAATTCAGAAATTATCCAGCATTTGCCATTTTTTCTTTCTTTTTTTTTCTTTTTTTTTTAAATGTATTTGAAATGTTTATTTTATATATCAACCATTTTCCTTCTGTTTTTTTTTTTTTAGGAAGGTGAAGATGATATTAAGGTCCTGATTGCTGAGAAGAAAATGTCTTCTTCAGCTGAAATGGCATCTAACATGAATGAAGATGCCAGTAGTTCTGTGGATTTGATTCAGGCTTACCCAAATAAAAGTCCCCCTGGAAATGCAAAATCTGCTTCAAAACCGAAGAACACAAAGAAAACAATTCCCAAGATTGCTAAAAATAGTAACAAAGAAAAACTCCCATCATCACAAATTCCAGCAACAAATGGTCACCAGCTGGTCACAGAACACTCCTTAGATGGCAATCTCTCACCTACACCTGTTAAGTGCATTCCTCGACTGGAGAAAAGTCTCTCTTCAGATTCTTACCCTGAAATGGCACCTGACTTTGGCGTTGAAGATGGCGATGCTCAGGATATTGCAAATGAAGGATGTGTTCCTGTATCTGATGGTAAGCTCTCTTTCTCTTTTAACTTTCAGTGTTTACCTTTGTTTGAAGCCTAAAATAATCATGGCAGTGATATTCTTCATGAAGATTAATGTTTCCATAATTTTAAGAAAGATAATTTCTACTGGAATTTTTGACATGACAAATTATTATTAAATGCTTTGGTATTCTAACCAGCAGGATCATCTTGGTTGTTTCAGCCATGGTAATCTCCAGCCTTCTTCAAGTTTCATTCTTAATATTTAGTAACTTTCTTGGAATTTTGAACCAAGTTTTTGATTTAATCCACATGAGTAAGATTGTCTCCATTCTGTTTTCCTGTGTTTTGGGGGATATTTCATGTCAGTTAATACTCATCAGAAATTATTCACCTTTGTGTCACTTGTTTCTTTCTTCTACTAAACCAGAATATATAACTTTTCATATCTGGTTCCCTGAAAGTTGTGAATTCAATCCCCCAACAGACTTGCCAAAATTTATCACATCTAACATGAAAAGAGAATAAGATTTTGCCTTTGTAAAACTCAGTACTCCTTGGTTTTGAGGTTGCAGAAGCAATGTACAACTTAGTTGCAAGTATGCTGTATACACATTATTCAAAAAAAATAATTCAGCTCTAGGATTGGCTGACCAGCTGTTATCTTGAATAAGAATTATGTAGTCTTCCAGTTGGCCTACAGACATGTAATATACTTGGAATTTTGTTCAGATTACAAGAGATGCATAAGACTATCAGTTGCCAAATAATTAATGGTTTACTTATATATATTAAATTGACATCATCTTTAAACTTATTTCATAACTCTGACTGGATTACACATGGGTCTATCTGTTTTTTATACTGTTTCATAGTCAGAGAATATGACAAAATAGATTGTTAGTTAATGACCTGAATTTGCAGTTTAATCCCAAGATACACTTATGGCTGAAAATGATTTGTTCTGCTCGTTTGTCAATGTTATCTTACACTTACTGACAAAGTTGTGCTTCCATAAAAAGCATTCTCAAATGATGATAACTCTGAGACAAGAATTTGTTTTAAAAGGCCATGTCATATAAATAATTTCTTTTTCTCTAATTTCATTTCAATTGTCAACTTTTTCTTTTGGGAAATGTTCCTCCAAGGGACTCATCTCTATCAGGGTTGATAGTGGTTTCTTCAAGGTATTAACATATTTATTGTCATACAACACATGTCTTGTGACATGTTGTGTATTTATTTTGACACATATCTGAATCTATTCCACAGTTTTATAATTAAAGAGGTCTATTGTTTCCATAAAGTTTTTGTCTGTTTTTTTTATTATTTATTTCTCTAAATAGCAATAAAAAAAAACTTCTGGGTTTTTTTTAGCTTGATTTGTATGACATTTTTTTTTTTTTAACAAAACAACAAATGTATCACATGACAACACATTAAAAAATGGTCAGTACTGAAGACATGCATTAGTGTCATTCTTTGTAGCTCAACAAAATTAACTTTATTTATTAAAATATCTTCTCTCTCTTTTGATGGTACCAAAAATATAGATGGCAATACACAAAGTAAAAATGAATGTTAAAGTTTTGCTTATGACAAAGCCCATTTTGCTCATTCTTTGCTTCACAAGATGGAAAGAATTTCTATAAATTTTAGAACACTTGTTTTTTAGCCATGATCTCATTTTGTCACAAACACTGAAAGTAGGAATTATTGCAGTTGATGACTTTTGTGCACTTGCTTCACATTTGTCATTTTATCACAAGAGCCAACCAATGTATTTATCACTTTGTCTTGATTTCAATATTTGTATTACACAGCTTGGGATAAAATCTATCTATGATCAAAAACAAAAAAAAAAACTGAAACCTCTCTGTAGAGAAGGAATTGACATTAATTTATAAGATAGACAAGAAACTCAAAATGACAACATATCTGAGTGCTTACTATAGTTACTTTTGGATCATTTTTTTTTATATTCAAAACTACAGAAAACATAGATTTCATGTGTATTTTATCAATAAATTTAATGATATTCAATTTACATACTATTTCAGTTGTTATTAGAATTGGCAGACCACTTCAATTGTTTCCATTAAAATTTTTGTCATACTGCTTCAGTTGTTCCCATTAGAATTTTTGTTGTACTGATATCTATTACTAATTTGCATGCATTGTCAAAAAAAAATTAAATATTGGTAATATTTAATATTTCTGTTGAACATAAAAATTTAAAATACATGATATTGTTCTACATTTTCTTTATCTTCAATACTTCCTGAATATTAAACTAAACAAATATTTTCCACTGAATAATTATGAAATTTTATTTATCAATTTAAAAATAGTAACACTTTATTTCTATTGGGTTGTCAGATAAATTCATTATTTTTTTCCAGTGTTATTTGAATTAATGCACAAAATATTTTTACTATGTTTTGGTTTCTTGTTGCTCTATTCTACCTTTTTGTTTATCATTTTATATTATTAACTAATTCGTTAAAATAGTTGGATAATAGGAAATGGAAAAAAACAAGTGAATTTATCTGACAAATCAATACTACATTACCAGAAGAGTCTACAAAGATTGGCAATTCGCCCATTTCTATATAATGGACCCTTCTACTGTAGTAAAATTTTATATATATATTAATATGTATATTCACTAATATATACTTATAGCTACATAACGAAGAGCACTTTATTTATGACACTTGAGGAAGAAATATATTTATACGTACATGCAAGTATATATATATATATATATATATATATATATATATAATTAAAAATTATAACATAATTGTTATAACATCACTACAAAAATAGCCATTTTGTTTTAACACTTCTGGTGTCTTGTCAAGTGATGGTGTTGTTTGTAAAATAAAAAGTTTTTAAAGTGTTCAAAACCAACCACAACCCCCACTAGGGGGAATATTTTTACATAAGATGTAATGGCCAATCAAATTACAAGTATATGAGAATTTAAATAACATGACAATAGGCCCTAGATACAATTTTTAATAAATTGTATCTAGGACCTGTTGTCATGTTATTTGAATTATCATATAAAAATTTAAAAATTTTTATAATATAAAATTTTATAATTGCTTTAAAATTAATAATTAGATTATATAGGAAATTAGGATAAATAATTAATCTCCAATTTATTATGTAATTAAAAAATAAAACTTACAAATATTAAACTCTAAATATAACCATGGATCAAGTTTAGAAAATTACAAAATTATTCAAAGAAAAAAAAAAAACGGAGGAAATTTGCCTAAATTTTCATGTATTTCACTTATTAATATGTTAAGTTTTCTGTCCGTATTTGAGTGGAAGAGGTGCAATATATGGCTACAAAATTGGTTACATTGACAGGGTTTGTGATTAGAGATTTAGTGGATGAGGTAGAAAAGTTTATTGGTGACAAGACAGTCCGACATCACATCATAATACGCAAACACATAAATATGATTGAATATATGAGCATACAAATATATGGATGACAAATAAGCAGACTCATCAAGATTCAATCATCCAAACAATTGCAGACAATGCAAAATTACACAAACATGGAAAATCAACATACAAATATATAAATATATGCACACATACACACATATATATAAAGACATAACTACATACATATATATATATATATATATATATATATATATATATATATATATATATATATACACACACACACACACACACACAAATATATAAAAATACATATCAACCAAAAACAAATATTTATATATATAAATAAATAAATCCTTTTAGCGAGTAAATTAAGAAATATGAAATAGAAAGACATATGTTAGGCTATAAAACATAAAGAAAAGATAGATATACATATAAATACACATTATTTCATTATTATATTATTATACTATAATTAAGATTCATGTCAAAGTATCACTTTATCAGTTAAATTTGCTGTTTTAAGAATTTGAAAACTGAACCACTAATTGAGGCGTTATCTGGTTTTGAAAACGATCTACTGGAAATCATTAACGGATTAACTTTTTCAAAAGCATCTTGATAACAGGCCTTAAAACAAATTTAACAAGTAACACCAAACAAGTAGATTTTCTTGATGTCACCTTATGAATAGTTCTTATCAAACTTATGTGAAGACAAACTCTAACCCTGTGTACACCCCCAGTTCTAATCACCCAATGTCAGTCATTGAGCATATACCTTCTTCCATTGAATTTAGAATCAGTGCAAAATCTTTTAATGAAGAGGTTTTCTATAAGCAGAGGGAATTTTATGACTCTGCCCTGAGTAGTAGTGGTTATAAAGGTACCAACATTAAATACATAAACCCCATTAATATTGATCATAATAAGAAGTGAAGATCCACGAAGATAATCTGGTTCGCCCCCACTTTTAAAACTAAGTTAGAACTAAAATTCTTCAATCTTATTTATAAACATTTTCCTAAAATTAATAGGCTTAGTAAAATCTTCAATAAAAATACTCTTAAACTTAGTTACAGTTGTGCAGATAATCTCAAAAATAATTAAAAATCATAATAATAAAGTTTTTAACAGATATAAAAACTCAAAAGGCATGACGAATTGTAGTGATACATTAAACAATACTAAATATCATAATATCAATACTAGTGGTTGTAACTGTAGGAATCCCAATGATTGTCCATTACAAAACAATTGCCAAACTATTTCCCTGGCTTATCTTAGTATTATTTCTTCACTTGAAAACCCAAATATTAAAAGATTTTACATTGGTAGTACTAAAAATCTATTTTAACGCTATTGGTACAAGCATGTTTTTTTCCTTCAAGAATAGTTCTCATAAACATGCTACCTCGCTGTCCAAGTACTATTGGAATTTAAAGGAGAAAAACAAAACACCCACTGTTAAATGGAAGTTAATTAGAAGAGCTCATACCTGTAATTTTTTATATTTACCATACTATCTCTGTCTCAATGAAAAACTAGAAATCATTAAATTTAAGGACAGGATAAACCTATTAAATCAAAGGAAGGAGCTCACTGTTAATTGCAGGCATAAATTATCTTTTAACTTGCTTTCTAGCTAGATAGGATATTGTATGTAAAGATGAAACAGTACTGTAAGTTTGTAAAAAAAAAAAAATAAAAAATTTTTTTTTTTTTTTTTTGTCCATAAATTTTTAATTATTATCTACCTTTATTTGCTAAGATTTCAATATAAAGTGGATTATTTAGTCAATATTGAATAGCTGTAACTCTTATTGAATTAATGTTATACAGACTCTGAATTTAATATGGCTATTTTTGTAAGGATGTTTATTTGTACGTGACTATATTTGTTTCTACTCCTGTTCTATATGGGCAGACTTTTCTAGGCACTTGTTTTTATGTTTGTGTCTATATGTGCTTGTTTTTTATGTTCACTTACATCTATTTGTATATGGGTGTCCATGTTTGTATATTTATATATTTTTTCCTTTATTGATATTTTTATTGTTGTGCACTTGTGTATATGTATATTGTTTATATATGCCTTTATCTGATTTGGTGTGCCTAATATATGTTGCATTCATTGTTACTCCTCTCACCAGCATCAAAATTAACTGATAAATTGATACTTGGATATCAATAGTAATAATATTATAATAATGAGATAATGTCTATTTATATGTATATCTATCTTTACTTGGTTTTTTTATAGCCTAACACACGTCTTTCTATTTCATATTTCTTAATTTATTTTATAAAATGGATTTATTTATTTATATATATATATTTGTTGGTACGTTTTATTTATTTATTTATATATATGTATGTAGGTATATATATATATATATATATATATATATATATATATATATATATTTGTATACCGATTTTCCAAGTTTGTGCAATTTTGACAGGTAGTCTGTGTTGTCTCTGTAGTTATTTGGATGACTGAATTTTGATAAGTCTGTTTATTTGTCTTTTGTATATTTGCGTGCTCATATATTCAATCATATTTACATGTTTATGTATTATGACGTGATGCCTATCTGTCTTATTACCAATGAACCTTTCTCCCTTGTCCGCTAAATCTCTAATAACAATTCTGTTAATGTAACCAATTTTGTAGCCATATATTGCACCTCTTACTTCCACTCAAATTCAGATGGAAAAATATATTAATAAGCGAAATACATGAAAATTTAGGCATATTTTCTCTTTTTTTTTTTTTTTTAATAATTTTATAAGTTTCTAAACTTGATGCATAGTTATTTTTAGAGTTTAATATTCATAAGTTTTATTTTTTAACTACATAATAAATTGGAGATTAATTAGTTATCCTGATTTCCTATATAATCTAATTATTAATTTTAAAGCATTAATAATTTGTATCCAAGGTCTGTTGTCGCGTTATTGGAATTCTCATATACTTGTAATTTGATTGGCTATTACATCTTATGTAAAAATATTCCCTCTAGTGGGGGTAGTGTTTGGTTTTGAACACTTTAAAAACTTTTTATTTTACAATCAACACCATCACTTGACAAGACACCAGGAGTGTTGAAAGAAAATGGCGGTTTTTGTAGTAATGTTATAGCTTTATAATTTTTAAATAAATATTATTCGCTTTACTTTGTATTGAGAACTTTTTTAAAACTAGTGTTTTTTTGGTTACTGGAATTTTTTTCCATCTATACCAAACTTGAGTGTGTATGTATGTATATATATATATATATATATATATATATATATATATATATATATATATATATTTTAATAAAGAGAAAGAACAGTATGATATATAATACAGCGTTCTTATTAATATTTTTATTTTTACAAACAGTGCTCAATGCAAATCTACAGAGCATAAATATTATAAATTTACTTATTTAAAAATATGGTTCCATCACTACACAGGAATTACCATGTTTCAAAAACAGAAGCTAAAATCTTCAAATTCAATTATAGAATTAAATTAAAGTCCCTAGTTCTGTTTCATTTTCAAGTGAATTTTGGAATAACTTATTTTGAAATTTACTGAGCTTTATAAGCACATACATTCATGATATTTGTTTCTATGGATATGGGGAAAACCAATAATTTTAACAAGGCGTGGTAGGGTATTCTTAACTTATTTTCTAATATTTACAAGTTTATAAGCCACTTCAAAACTGTTAGTTTTGTTTATCAGTATAACTGTAAAGGATGTGCCATGTTAGGTGACCTATATTTTAATCTATATGACTTTGGTTTACCCCAAGTGTTGTTTAGGCTTATTTTCTGATTTTTGAATTAATTTATTTGATTTATTCTCTTCTAAACCTTCATAAGTTTTTTATGGTACAATTTCTCTTCACAGATGTTTTTTCTGACTGTTGGGATCCCTTGGAGAAATGTTAGTATTATATTTGGAGTATTTTAAATCTAATATTTTAGATAATTGTGGTTTTTACTTCAAGGTAAAATACAGGGTGTTCATAAGTTATCTGTACAATTTAAAAAATTTATAACAAATAATAAACTATGGAGTTTATTGGAAAACATAGGTAAACAAACAATGTTTTATTTAAACACATCAAAATACTTCCACATTGCTCAATTTCTGTTTTCTACCAGACAATTCATATTTCCTTCTTATGCCAGGCACAGATGCTAAGATGATTTCTAATTTTTTTCATACATTCTACTGTAATTCTGCTGAATCTGTCATAACTTTCATTAAAAGTCAGCGACCAATAATAAGCACTCTTAACATCTATCTGAAAAAAACAAACAAAAGTTAATTAAAAAAACAAAAAAAACAAACTAAATATAAATTAAAACTTTGATAATATTTCTTAACCGTGCAAAGAAGTGTATTAATGGATCTTAATTCTAATGGCTACAATAAGCTGTGAAAGTTACACAGATAATTTATGGACATCCTGTATAATAATCTATTACTACAGTTTTAGCCAGAGGAAAAAAAAATTGTGAAAAATACTGTGTGCTTTTAATTTTATCAAACTTCTTTTTCCCCTCTCTTTAAAATTTTACCCTCCCTGCATTTTGATGCCTTATGTTGTCTTGTTTTTATGTTTCTGACTCCTGATGTACCAAAGCCATAACCTGGTCAGTTTTCCAATAACTTAGTTTTCTCTGACATGCAAAAATTTCATTAAACAAATCCAATAATTAGAAGACTCCTTCTTTTTTTTCCTTTTTTTTCTTTTCTCTTTTTTCTCTTCTTTCCTTTTTTCCTTTTCCTTTCTTTTTTCTCTTCTTTTCTTTTTTCTCTTCTTTTCTTTTTCCTTTTCCTTTCTTTTTCCTTTTCCTTTCTTTTTCCTTTTCCTTTCTTTTTCCTTTTCCTTTCTTTTTCCTTTTCCTTTCTTTTTCCTTTTCCTTTCTTTTTCCTTTTCCTTTCTTTTTCCTTTTCCTTTCTTTTTTCCTTTCCTTTTTCTTTTTCTTTTTCTTTTTCCTTTTCCTTTTCTTTTCCTTTCTTTTTCCTTTTCCTTTCCTTTTCCTTTTCCTTTCTTTTTCCTTTTCCTTTCCTTTTCCTTTTCCTTTCCTTTTCCTTTTCCTTTCTTAAGAAACTAATGGAACTGTTACTTTTATAAGAAAATATGTACATTTATTTCTTTTATAAATTTTATTTTGTTTTACTAACAATTTTTTTCAATAAGTTTCTATTATTCATTTAACTTTTTAACGCTTAATCAAAAACTCAAATGTTATTTTTCATTAAATTTTAGTTGAGAATTTTAAATAACTTTTTGTTTTTAGCATTTTATGAGTTTCAAATTAATGTTCAACTTGAATTGTAAAATGTAGCACCCACCTGATGGAAGGCTCATATGTGGTATTTGCTTTTGTTATGGCTTGGTTTAGTTGCAATATTGACAAAACATAGAGAACTAAGTTGTCATAAGAAGATGCTCAGTGAGACGTATAGTCATTACACTTGTGAATTGGTGTGTAAAGAAAGCTTGCTATCTGTAGTGATATGGTAAGATATCATTGCTGTTTATATCGCAAATAACTTAAGAATTGTCTCCCCTCCATATTATTTACTGTTTTCATGTTACAATGGTGAATATATCTTAAAAACAATTCTGCATGTTTAGCTAGCTGTTAATTAGAGCTTTACAAATTCAAAATAATGCTAGTTTAACTTAGATTTGAGTCAAATAAATTTCATGCCCAAATTTCTTTTTATTTGAATTTTCTCATCTCAATAAATTTGCAAGAAGAATGTTCTGTTTACATTTTAATAAGTGATATTTTTTGCTCTTGATGCTTTAAATGGACACAAAGAAATTTCAGAGGGCATTATGGCTATTTAAAAATAAAATATTATTAATATGTTTTATTGTTTTATAGTTTTAAATCATGAATTGATGAATTTATAATCTGGAAAAAATACTTTGTCAACATTTTCCACTTGGTTATTTTCACTTTTAAGACCTTTTATCTAAGGAAAAGCTACATTGTTGTCAGATTATTAGAACATATTCTATTAATTGAGATTAAACAAAATAAAGGTTTGTATTAAAAATTATTAATAAAATGTGATATCCTAACTGAGTGGATATTAAATTAAAATTCAATGAACTTTTAATTTATGGAAAAAAAATGAAATTTACGCATTTAAAATATATATTAAATTATTAATCTGCAAAGGCATTTATAGTTATTAAGTGATTAGAAATTTTATACTCTTCAATTATTACACTTTCAAATAGAACTTAAGATATTTCTGTGAAATATTTGCATGTAGCCTCATGTCTAATACTTAGCCCATGTGTCATGTAAAAATCAGAGACAATGCATCAAGTAATCAGTCTGAGTCATAAAAAATATTTCATTGTCTAATCTATTTTTGGTTGCATGAATTTTTTTTTCCAAAAGAAACTTAAAACATTTGTAAAAAAATACTCAAGTTCTGGAGTATGCAAATTTTGTATTTGCACTTTATCTCTATTCTTAAGTTCCTTTTTCTTTCTGGACATGTTGAGTATTTTGACAAAGTCAAATTTTCACCACCTCAAACTTTCCATTTATTGATTACCTATAAACTGTTAAGGTGGTACAGACATATAAGTTGGTATCAATAAGTATATTAATAGATTAAAAAAAAAATCAAGTTTTTTAAAAACTTGTAATTTCTTCTCTTTGCATTAAGAAAAAACTTTCTAAATTCTTTCAAAAGCTATTGCTGAAAGAAATAGGAAATGTTCTGATAAAAATTCTGTATGTCTAGACAAAAATATATAATATCTGGCCATAAACATCATTTAGCAATTCTTATATACATCATTTTATCAACCTTTCCAGTTTTTTTTCCTTTTTTCCAAGTTATCTATACAATTTTATGAATCAATTTTCAAATATAGAAAATATTTCGTGTTTCTATAAATGAGGAGCATTTGCAAGCCTAATTTCTTAGTATTATTCATTTGCTTATATTCATGACTTAGTAATTAATAAATTTGATGATAATGTATATTCATAGGCTTTTGGAAAATTCTTTTTAGCAGATTGTAACTTTTTGATTGAATTGCCATTCTCCTATATCTTTTTGAATTAATGCCAGCATCTTCTAAGGCTCTATCCTTTGACCTATATTGTTCCTAATTTTCATCAAAAGTTAGTGTGATTGGATCAATATGGTCAAATTGTCAGCTGATCTAAAAAATGACTTACATTCTACTGTTAACTGGGACAAGGAATGGTTTGTTAATTTTAACGCTTCCAAAATAAGCAGCTGTGTATTAATCATCTGTGAGAACACTTTCTGCCTTCCATCAATATGGCTAATGCTAAACTGTAGGAAAATGACTTGTTGCACCTTTTCATTTTCTGCTCACATGAAGTGGAAAGATTATATTGAATCAATTGCTAGGAGTCTGCTGATATGAAAGTTGGTTTTTTGTGTCATGCTAGACCATTTTTCTTGCCTAAATCTGTCTTACATACAAGTCTACCACAGATCAATGCTTAGAACATTGCTGCCACATATGGTCTGGTGCCCCTGCTATATATATTTAGAGATCCTTGATAAAATCCAAAGAATCTGCAATGTTATTAGTCCTGACTGGGCATCTTGGCTTCAGTCACTTTCCCACCACCCTAATGTTGCTTCCCTGTGCCTCTTCTATAAAAACTTTCATGATAAATGTTCTGATGAACTTTCCTCTATGGTCCCTAGAATTCAAACATAGTTGGCAAGATCCCATCATTTTACAGTTGAAATTGCTAGATGTAACCATAACCTCTATACTAATAATGTTCAGAAAAATAATGCTAGGAAATTTTTCCTTTTGGGATACCTTAGTCATCCTTTTTTTTCCCATTTTTTTCTTTTTAATTATTACCAATATTTTTGCTTATACTTTGTTTAATGATATTTTACTATAATTTTCTTTTATGCTCTGTGTCCCTGTAGATGGTGAGCAATTTCCTGTCTTTTGTAGCTCTTAGCAATGTTTGCTTTTTTACTCCATTTCCCACTTACTGATCTGAAATCCATATACACAAGATTGTTAAATAGGTTACACATCATTGCTTTCTGTCACTCTTGCTTTCAATATATTCTGAGTCAAATTCTCCAAGACCCACTCCCTCATATGTCAAAAAAAATTTCAACTCGCTGATTCCAAGTATGTGTACTTTTCATTTCCTTTAAACTTCCTCATTGTTTACATGCTTCATAGGGAGTATTCTCAACATTTTTCTGTTGAACTACATCTCTGTTGCCTCAAGTTTCCATCTGTGATGAAATTATCCCTCATTCACTGCCATAAAAGAGAATTAACATTACATATCAGTTCAACACTCTTTTCTTGTTTCTGACATTTTCCTTTTCCTACAACTTTGTCTTTTATTAATACCTTGTTTAGCTTTTGGCTATTCCAATGCACCCTCAGATTTTGATGTCACAATTTCCATCATTGTCTGTTAAATCACAATTCCCAGATAATTAAATTTCTGTATTTGTTTAATTTTGATATCTCTAATTTGTAGCTCACACCGTGGGTTGCTCATTTTGATGACAACCATTGCCTGTTAAAAAAAAATAAAAAATGATGATGGAATTATTTATGGTTGGTATTTTCCCTCATTCTCCATCTTGAGGCTTGGACGAGAAGCCAATTATCTCTGAACCATGTTCAAACAGATCTTAGTTAAATCTTTGAGAGAAGGCTTTGTCCCTGAAATTCCAACCCTACAGCAGCACCTCCCTCATTGCACTGAAGAGGAAGGGCTGGTGGAATAGTGATGTCAGCATGATGGTGATTGCAAGGACCTGGCTATTTTTGGACCCTGTGCATAGGCACTATGTGTTAAAAAGACCTTTTGTCATATCCCACCACTGTGTGTCTTTTTTTTCTTTGGTGGTGGGGCGGGCAGTAAATACTGTTGACATTTCTGCATAGGATCAGTCTTATCTGTGAACTATAACAAATATTACAGGAATTGTGATTTATGTATGTTATCAGTTGTGGAATCTTTTGCACTTGCTTGCTAATCATAAACATAAAATCTAAGCCTGTGTGTTTTGGTGAAGAAATAACAGAAACCATATCAAGAGCATAACAATTTAAATGGATAGCACATGTAACTTCAAGAGAAAATAATAACATAATTAAGATACTGATGTTCCACATTAATTCAAATAAAAGGTTAGAAATAAAACTCCTATCAATACTGGAAAGAGCAATAAAAGCTACTAGGCTTCAGAAACCTATTTCCCAGAAAAATTATTTGAAGAGGATTATTTTATAAATTTCAACTGACAACAGCACTGGCTGTCTGGTCAATTAATGCCAAATGTTTCCTTGTAGAGAAACAACTAATATTATCATTAAGCTTTATTTACTCCTATTTTTTATCTTTTTAAAAAGTTTGAAACTGATAGAAACAATCATTTGTTTTATGTTAATTTTGAGTATTTGGTAATTTTTTTATGAAGAGATTGTTAAATATATGTTGGGTGACTTTGGCAAATTCTGTCTGTTGGAAGCAGGTAATTACCCAAACACAATAAAAAAAAAAAAAATAAAGATATTAGAAGTTGGAAAAATGTTACTGAATTTTCATTTTCTAGAAAGAGAACACACTAACAAAGTAAGTATAGAAATGTGTTAAATTCCTTCTCTCCAACATTGAAATGGAAAACTAGAGGATTTTACAAAAGTCTGTCTTCTATAAGTCCAGCATATCATAGCCATGCATCAGAAATGCAAATTTTCTTAATTACATCTACTAAAAAACAAACAAGGCTCTGCTGATTAGTTAAGGGCCATGTGACCAGCCAAGCATGGTGGATATTAGAGAAGTAGAAACAAAATTATCCCAACAAATGTATCCTTTCAAAATTTTGCTGAATTTTTTAATATTTGCTTTTTCTGATAATTTTTCATTAAGAGGATTTATCATAAAGTTGAATTTATAGCTTGAAGCTTTTCTCTAAAATCTATCCATATATATTTTATGTGTATACACACACACACGCACACTTTCTCTCTCAGGTTTGGTCACAAATTTTCAGTAATAAAAAAACAAAAAAAATAACCTTTTTTTCTTTAGTTCAGATT